ATATAATTTAAAACTTGTTTTACAAAATTTCCAACATAAAAATCTTTTATCTGTATTATGCTTTACTCCTGCAGCATTTAAAGCTTAGATTCATTTTTAAGTCGATTTATTTTAGAGTGTATGTTCAGATGGATGTTGAGCTTTAGTATGAAAGAACTATTGTAAACAAGAGAGACATTGATTTCTCCAGTTACACCTTACATCTGAGAAATGATTGTTACTTGCAATATCGCATCGTATTAGAATATGATTTAAAACTACTTCAACTCTTTCCAAGTTATTGTCATCAAGATTAATGATACCAGTTTTATTCATTCGTAATTTAAATACGTTAGAACAAACAATTCAATATAGAAGTCTATCCTAAACAAATAACGAAGTTTTCGCTAATTGATCTAAGGGTGTGGGTGGGTGTGGGGTATGGGTGGGCGTGGGTGGGCGTGGGTGGGTGTGGGTGTTGGTTTTCATTTCGTTACCCACACCCACACCCCACACCCACAACGGACATTATGTGCGAAGGACATTTTTTGAAGGACGAAATTTCAGGAACATTTTTGAAAGGACATTTTTTAGGGACATTTTAGACTGTTACCATTCCTCGTTTTCATTTTCCCAAAAAAATATATAATAGAGAATAACCCAAAAGTGCATGGAACGGAAATTTTTCAAGATTTTTTTAATGTGATTCTCTATTTCAGTTCATGGGAATCGAATAATTTTTTTTGTGATTGAAAGCTCAGATGGTGCTCTTCAAAAATCTATATTCAATTTCAGTTCACGATCGATTACAATAAAATTAGAACAAAAACAAAAAGGGAATCGAAACCTACGCAACATCCTGTATCTGAGTGTGGAATGTGAGTGTGGATGAAGAGAATATGTACATCCACATCCTCATCATTTCTATCTTATATTTATATTTTTGCATCAAATGAAATATTCGATGTATTTTTAACATAGGTGAAGTTAGCAAAAGATTCGAGTAAAATTAGCAGGGATTCGGGTGTGAGTGTGGGTATTATATTAAAAATAACATCTACACTCACGTCCATATCGACACGCATCCCATACCTCGTACCCGCACTGCTCCATACCCATACCCACTCCCTACCGACACTCCCACCCATATCCACACTCCAGCCACACCGACCAGTAATTGCGGCTTTATTATGTTTGCATTCACTGGTTTCTAGACCGGCTCAAATTGAGATTTTCAAATTTACTATAGGAGGATAGTCACAGCACGTCAAATACAGATTTACTAACACTAATTTATTTGCAAATTGAAAAACAATAGAGATACTAAAGTCAATCAACGACAGATTGGTGTCGATGGATGAATGATGAGACGAGTGTCAATTGGACAGGATAGACTATCGTTGAGTTTGAGTGAACCTTGATCTTTTCCATGTTCATATACGAGAGAATAACTACCGTTGAATTCTTGAACAGTGAGATGATACATGTTACCATCTATAGCCAGATCCAGTGTTGCTCTCAAATATTTAAGACCATGAAAGATGAGTTTTGTTGCTTGATTGGGTAAGTGCCCTCGTGGCATCACTTCGAGATGATTCAACTTCAGACGAATGCCACCATAACCAAAAAGAACCGCTTGTAAAAAAACCTCCAGCACCTGTGATAAAGTTCGCTGCACCAACGTTTTTCTGAACCTCAGTCCATACCTACAAATATACAATTCAATCGATTGGAGAGAAGAATAAACAAAGATAGTGGACAAACATTAAATGGTGGTCGAATATATGTTTGATAGGAACGTCGAAATAGTTCTTCAGCTTTTTCGAAATTGCCAAATTCAAGAAAACCAATTGCATGCATTGACCATGTCATTGCTGGCCTACTGGCACGAGTAAGCCGTTCATAAGCCAAAAGATCATTTTGTCGAACTTCTGCACTCATTGGTCATTGAAGAGGAAATCCGAGGAGAACCACATCGGCTTGTTTGATAGTTGTATTTTCTAGACCAGCAAGATTGAGACCGAAACGTTTCTCTATATTTACTTACTCAAATCGAAACCTTCATATTCTAGATGAGTTTGGCTAGCTTCATCAAATGGAAAATAGAGATTTGAAGCAATATCAAGCCATGCTTTAGGTACAGTTTTCTTAGTGATACCACTGATACGATCAGCCAAATTAACGGAAAGTGATGCAACTGCATTGGTGAACACCGAATTATTCTTGTACGGTTCTGCATCTTCATCTGGTGGCATTACATCTAAAGAATGGTCATAAATGCACGATTGACCAAAACACTCGAATCGAACTTAGTATTTCGTATTGCTGCTTCTTATCACTGTACACAGCTCTGGAGCTCCAAAATCGAGCTGTTTCATAGATCAAATCTCCATCGCGTTCAGATAACAGCCACTTTTGATCACCTGCGGCTGCTACATACTGTCTAGTAGCGAATTCAATGTCACCGATGATATGCATTTGATACAGACGAACTTGTGGACAAATATCCGGTGTCACATCTACACCTGTTCGAGCACTTTCCCACAGAATCCTAATTGACAGAAGTGAAGATCAGAAAAAGAAACCAATCTGTCATTTACCTCCATCCTTCGTAACCGAACAGACGAGTATTATCAGCAGCTGATTCACGCATAGCTATACGGTACGAGAGTATCTCTTTGGCCAATCTAGGATACATCTCGAGTTCGTTAACATTCTTTAAAATTTTTTACATACGTGGGATAGAAGAGAAGAACAGGTGGGAACATCCATATTTCTGTATCCCAAAATGAATGACCAACATAATCCTGGTCATCGGGTCCATCAAACCCATCCCGTGAGAGACTTCCAGGACTGAGACCATAGAACTGTTTGTGTTCACTTCGAGTGAATAGTGGTGGAAGCGAACTGAGAATATAATAGAAAGCAGAGTTGATTTGTCGTTGCAATTCATCATCGCCTTGAACCTTTACGTGAGCATTCGACCAGACATTATTCCAGAGCGTGACATGCGATGACCACAGCTCGTTCGGTTTTCGTTCACTGGATGCTATTAAATAATTCGAAATGATGGTACATCAATTTCTCGTGCATATTACCATAGTGGAAACTTTGTTTAGCTCTCGCTTGATGCTCATCGACGGACGTGACAAAGAGATAGGTTCGATCTGTTTCTTGTGGATCGAGTTCGAAACCTTCGTAAGGCAATGGTGTGTAATAAATGAAGACAGACAGTGGTTCTTGTTGATATCGAATGTTCTCCACTTGACGAGTTTTTCCGGATAGAACTCTATTTTGTAAAGAGATAACAAGATGGATTCGTCTCGACGGCACTTACACATGCTGATTACTACGAGCCAAAACTGTAAGATCGATATCAATGCTCTCCATTTGTCCTATCACTTCAACTGGCACAATGAGCATCTTTCCTGAACAGAATAAAATAGATTTCATTTTAAATGATTTTAAGGAAGATCACAGGTCAAACCTTTCGGTGCTAATCGAATGAGTTTGACATGAGCAACTAAGAGTTCTGTGTATTCTTGAGAGGCAAATAAGCGCCGTTCGATTCGTATTTCGTCATTTTCAAGTATTTCAGTAAATGTACCTATGTGAAAATTGTTTACAATTGGTACGTATATCTCGGTAATCATTTTACCCGATGAGACATTGAGCATGTATGATGAAAATATAGGAGTGATTTTGAATAGCCAATTGAGTGTACTAGGAATACGAGCTCGATGACTGGCTCCTTTCATTGATGGAAAGAGTGCGATAGTTTTTAAACGGGTAATGAAAAACAGACACTAACTGTTTTCACCGTTGTAGAAACCATTCATGTAAATGAAATTGCTTAAAACAACAGTGGCTACATGACCATTGCCTATGTAGGGTAGGAAGCGGAAGTCAATAGATGTACCATTGGAAGGCAATCTACATTCACATTCGATCTGTTGAAACAAGTGACAATTTGACAGAAATAAACATACTCATTTGCTGTGAATGTGGTAGTCGAGTCTGGCGAATTAATCATCGCTATTCGAGTGAAAACGGAGTATGATGAGAGTAGAACGCAGAAAGCCAGTACGATAAACAAAAAAATGTAATTTGTTGATATTTTAAGGCTACTAGTTTTATAATGATCGCAGCATGAGCTCTTAAATGGCGTGCTATTACTGATCGAGGAGCTACACTTTGACAATTGATTAACTCCGTATTAATCTGTCTTCGAAGCAAGAGAAGAAACATCTAGCATTATAAGATATCAACTTGCTATTTCTTTTTCTCTTAGAGGTTTTTTCTCTGTGTTTGCTATTACTGAATTTTATAAATAGCTTGAATAGATTCAAGTGAGATAGAGATGAATCTTCCTTTTCAAAGTGATTTTGCTTGAATTATCACATCAATACGAATTCAACAGCGATCCAGCCAAGGGGAAAACAGGAGACTCCAACTCTTTGGAGTTCCTTGGAATCCCTTGAAATTCCAGAATGTTTTTGATTTCTCTGCAAAGACTGCTTATAAAAGTTAAAATCAATTACTTAGTAAGTTGTTTTTACCAATCATGATATAAGAAGGGATCCAAACAATTGAGAAGCATGGCTACAGCTATCTGAATATTTTTTCTTTCGACAAATTTCGTTTTCAGGAAAACATGTACTATCTGTCGCCTATTCATGTGCAACACACATACTGTTTTTACAACTTTTGATTAAGCAGACTATTATTTATTCAAAAAGAACAGCAAACAAAATACCATATAAAGAAAAAACATTGATTTTTATAGTCTGCATTACTCGAAGTAATCCATCACCTGAAAGCTAGGAGAAAACGGCGGATTTCATACTCCCAGGATTTCCACTAGGCATGCATCAGTGCCAGTTCTGGGACTGGAACTAGATACCAGTGCTACTGGGTATATGTTCAACTAATCTATGTTTTATTTATGGAAGTACTCCTAGGCCTTCATGTGCTATTATTTAGGGGTACCCTTTGGGCCCTCATGTGCTATTATATGTGGATATCTTTAGGTCCTCATGTGATATTATATGAAGATGCTCTGAGGCCCTCTGATCCTATTATTTGGAGATACTCTTAGGTGTGTGGGTGTGGGTGTGGGGTGTAAGTGTAGGTATGGGTGTGGGATGTGGGTGTTGTTCAAGAGCAGACTCGCACCCACACCCACACCCACCCACACCCACACCCACCCACCCACACCCACACCCACACCCGCACCCACCCACACCCACCCACATCCACACCCTAAATTATTCAATCTTCAACATTCAGCAGTAACACTCATGG